TATATACATGTATATATATATATATATATGTGTGTGTGTGTATTGGTTCTTGATCTCAGCGCAACCGTATCGACTAGGGGGAGGAAATGTCGCAATCATATGTATCGAATACAGAACATGATAGCCAGAATCTGAACAACGCTCGCATGGCAACATAGCAATAAGAAGCGAGGGTTACTTCACACAAGTCCTATGCACAACTTAAGTTCGCCGACATGGCTGTACCTCTGAATCGGATGTTGGCTGGGTGACGGTTGTGGTTGTACCCCTCCAGTAATGTGGGGAAGACAAATAGAAACGAAATCGGCCCAAACAAACACTACGCAGATGAGCTTGTAAACGAGTATGAAGTGGACTGAGGTGTATTGAACTCAGGGTTCAAGTACAGATATGGTGGTGTCGATCGCTGTACTCCTGCTGTTAGCTTTGGCGCATAGAACGGTAGTATTGCGAAGAGTATTTCTTGAGTAATAATTGTATTATTACTATTGGTGGTATATATAGTACCAGTACGATTCAAAATAGTATGAGCGGTCTTATTAATGGTCTAATAGTAGTAGTAATCGAATTTTTAATATAATGTTATTATAGTACTAGTATTTTTAGGATTATTGTTATCGATAGCACTAATAAAATATTATTCGACTAATATTTGTATTGTTACTCGCATAGTCTTATCACCGTATAAAAATAGCATGCATGGCCTTATTGCTGACTAGTAGTAGTAATATAATTCTTAGTATTATTATTACTTTAATACAGCATTACAATTATAGTACTCAACTATTAACATGCCTTTCGGGTGATGGCATACCTGCTGATTACCACTACACAAATGAGGGTAGAATGGAACTTGCTTGGATAAATTAAAACTTACTTGGAGACGGTAAAATATAGCGTACTTGGAGACTGTAGAATGAAGTTTGCGTGACGAGAATATATTTAAGTTTTTTTGAAGAGGATGGAATAAAGCCTACTTAAAGATGGTAGAATTAATTTAATTGAAGAAGGTATAATAAAATGTACTTCAAGAAGATGGAATAAAGCTTGCTTGAACAAGGTAGAATAAAACCTGCTTGAAGAAGGTACAATAAAACTTTATTAAAGATAGAATAACATGTACTTACAAGATAGAATAAGGCTTACTAGAAAAAGGTAGAATAAATGTTTTAGGGTTTTACTTTAAGGGGGTAGAATAGAATTTAATGACAGAAAGTGGAATAAAATGTACTTTTAAGAAGATAGAATAAAGTTTACTGGAATAGGGATTTTTTTTTTGGAGAAGATACAATGAAATTTTATTAACGAGGGTAGAATAAAGATAACTTGGAAGTATAATGAAACTAATAAATAAATTGTTCAAAATGGAATACCGAAAATGTATATAAGGCACCCAGAAAAGTCACTAAATGTACATTTGACTGAGATACTTGCAAATTCCAAACTTACATGGAAATAGTGATATGAGGCTTACTTGAAGAGAGTTGAATAAAGCGTATCTGAAGAGGGTGGAATATTAATGCTTAACTAAAGAAAATAAATTTGGTGTCAAAGAAAGGAATGAACTATACTTGGATAGGATAAAAGAAAGCGTACCTAGAGAGGGTATAGCAAAGTTTACTTGTAGAAGGTATATCGAAATATACTTGAACAGGTTAGAATGAAGCGTACTTGTAGAGTGTAGAATAATTTTTAGTCGAAGAAATAGAATAAAATTTTAGAACAAAACATACCCGAAGAGGTTAAAATGAATCTTGCTTGTAGAGGGTAGAATATTTCATAGTTGAAGATGATACAATAAAACTTACTTTGAAGAAGAGAGAGTTGTTTTTGTTTTTGGACAGGATAGAAGATATTATACCTGAAGAGGGTAAGGGTACAATAAAATATACTTACAAAGATAAAAATAAAGCTAACATGTAGACGATAGAATATTATTAATTTGAACAGATATAAGACAAATTTTTTTTTTATTAAAAAAGAATATTGTTTTTTTTAGATGGAATAGGAGAAAGAGTACTTGAAGGGGGTATAATAAATACAATGAAGTTTACATGAAGAGGGTATAATATAATGAAGTTTACTTGAAGAGGGTATAATATAATGAAGTTTACATGAAGAAGGTATAATATAATGAAGTTTACTTGAAGAGGGTATAATATAATGAAGTTTACTTGAAGAGGGTATATTATAATGAAGTTTACTTGAAGAGGGTATAATATAAGGAAGTTTACTTGAAGACGGTATAATGTAATG